ATCGCTCGCCGTGTTTAAACCATGATGCTAAACGCACTTTCTGGGAGATTTTTGTCTCCACCATCACCTTGCTTCCTCTATGAGTGCAGTCCGGAAAAAAAAAAAAAAATTTAAAAAAAAAAAAAAAAAAAAGAAAAAATGAAATGGTTTTAAAAATTCCCCCCGACCCGGCTCCTTTTCGCGGGTTGCCGGTGTTGAAAATAGCAAAAAACCCCCTAGAAAAGTTGCCAAAAAGAAATTGGGGAAAATTTTATCTGGTCGTTTTTCTCAGGGAATCCATCTAAGCCCCTCCCTTTTCTTTCCCCAAAGTTTGCCAGAGAGTTTTTGCACCCCTTTGGGCTTTTTTTTCTCTCCCCGTGCCTAAAACTTAAATGCTTAAACCTTACGTCCACTTTCAGCAACACTGGTATGGCAACCCAGTGTCACGGGTTGCTTGGCAATACAAAATAAGTTTTAAAAAATCATAACAATTCAAAACAAGGCCGGGCCCTTTTAAAAAGAGAAAGACTGTACTTGGGGCACGAAAGAATTAAGAATGCTGGGGGTTTGGGGGGGTGGTGTCCGGGGGGTAGTAGGGGATGGCGGGTGGGGGGCCCCAGTAGTCCACGAGAAGTGGCCACCCCTTTAGCAGAAAAAAATTTTTTTTTTCCTTCCCACAAACGAACCATGTTAAAATTTAAATTTTACGACCTTTTTACATAAAAAATTTTTGGGCCCCCAATTCCCTTTAATCGTGCAATACTAAAAACGTGCCCGTAAACTCGTGCCCAAAAATGGTTAATGTACATAGAAAAACTAAAACTCAAACCCTAAACCCTTCACTCAAACTTTTCCTCACCAACCTAAATAGGAAGCACACGTAACACAAGATGCAGATCACTTTTTGATTTCCCTTTTTCCCCATCACACTATGTAAGAACTCTAAGCATATAAATGGCCCCCAAATTTTTGGGCCCATTACCAGTAAAAATCAATTTAAGGGCCTTTTTAAAAAAACCCTCTTTCAAACCGAAACAAAAATACAATAAATAGTATTTTAAAATTTTCCCAACAAACCTCTGAATTACCTAAAAACTTAACATTTCAAAATTTAAATAAACCCCAAAAAACATACATAAAACTACATTTTCAGAATAAATACCTGCCAAAAACTTACGCCTTCCCCCCTAATTTTAGCATTCTCAAACTGTTTTAAAAACTTTTTTTACCAATGCTCAGAAATTTTATTCTAATATTATAACTTAAATATTTAAATATTTTTTGAAAGCCTGTAATTGTTTTTCCTTTATGGAAGGGGTTGCTGGGGTCCCCTTTTTCTGTCTCAAAAAACCCTGCAAGATTTCGGGTACATCTTGTTTTCTTCTACTTTTCACTTAGGTTTACCTGCACATAGATTTCAGTTTTATTTTATACACTTTATTGAGTTTTCTTTTATTTTATCTTAGTTCTTGTTCCCTTTTTCCCCTTTTCCCCTTTTTTAATTTCCCTGGGGAAGTGGGAATAAAATCTTTCTTGAAGCCTTTCTTTTTTTGTAAAAGCCAACTAAAATGCCCGGGGAAAAATGGGCTAGTAATCCCTTTTCCCCGTATAAACCCCCCCAAAAAAAAAAAAAGAAAAAACCCTCAAAGGGGGTTCTTGGGTGTTTCAAAGATTTTGTGCAAAAAGAAAGAAAGAGATGATTGTGGGGTGTTATGAAAGCGAAAATTTGGGTGCCCTGGCTTTTTAAATGAAACAAAGTTGAAAGGGGGGGGGAGAGTTTCAGGGGGGAAAATAAATGGGGTTAGGGGCAGGGGTTTTGAATGGAGCTAAAGGGAAGGGAAAAGCAAAAATGTCGAGGATAAGTTAGGGGAGGAAAAAAAAAGGAATATAAATTAAATTACTTCAAGGGTTATGTGGAAGGTTTTTAAAAGGGTTTCTGTGGAAAAAAAAGGGGGTTTTAGTAAACAAATTTTTTTCACCTGGAGAAGAGAAAAAGTGTGGAAAGGGAGAGAGAGAGTGATTTTTTGGGGAAAAGTTGAATTTGGGGCATGGGGAGTTTTTAAACCCAAATGGGGAAAGTTTCTTGTGGTTGGGGGGTTTTAATGCTAAAATGAGTAAAAAATTTTGGAGGGAGTAGTAGGCAAAATTTTGGGGTGCCAGGGGGGAAATGAAAAAGGGGGGGGCCCTTTTAAATTTAGCTATGTGTAAGAAAGAGGTTTGGTTTAAAAAATAATTTCATATTTTTTGAAAAAAAGGATAAATAAAATACAAGTTTTGAAAAATAGCAAGTAATGCAAGTAGTTTGTTAGATTTTGTATTGAAGGAAAAAAAGGTTGATGGGTAAGGGTTCAGGATGTAAAATGTTTTTAAAAGGGGCAACTGATATATCAGTCATTTTTTAATTGTAGCTACAGTTAGAGTAAGAGGTTAAAGGGGGGCGAAAAAGAAAATGGAAACAAAAAGTAAGAGGTAAAAAGGGGATAAACTAAGGGGGGAGGAAGTTCGGGGGAGATATTTGCAATATTTTTTACAGAAAGGGGGCTATTTCAAGTTGAGTAGTAGGGGGGGGGTTGAAGAGGGGTTTGGGAAAATTTTAAAAAGCAGTAAAAAAAAATGTTGGGGCAGAAGTTCTGGTTAAGGAGGGGGGGTTTCAGGAGGGAAAGGGGGGGGTGATTTGGGGGGAATGAAGAAGTAAAGGGGGTGTTTAAAAAAGGAAAAGGGAGCTATTAGGGTTTTTTTCAAAACAGAAGTGTTAAAGAAGATTTAGAGTAAAAGGGAGTTAAAAAAAAGGTGAAAAGAGTGGGGAGAGAGTAAAAAGGAGAGCAGTGAAAAAAATGGCAAGGGCAATGCAAAGAAATTTTAATGAAAAAAAAGAAAAAAAATTTTTGGGGTTAGAAAAAACAATTAAAAAGTCCAGGGAATGGATGGGTTTTTCAGTTAAAAAAAAGGTAGGGGGGAAAGTTAAAATGGGGAGCTTTGGGGATTTTGGTAATGGCAGGAATATTTTGGGAAAATTTTAAAAAGTTGACAAAGAAAGGGAGGGATTTTATTTCATGCACTTGCCAGGGAGGTATAGCATCTTTTAGGGGTTTAACAAGAGGGATGTGAGGGGTAGGGGGGGTGCATGAAGCATTAATAGAATGAAAGGGGGTTAAAAAAAGCTGAAAAATGACGGGGGGTCGGACAGAAATGGGAAAAGCACGGGATATAGGTTGGAGTGGTTGGTTAAATTTTTTTTTAATAAATGTTTGGGAAAGAGGGGGAAAATACCCCATGATTGGCAGGGGAGCATGTATAGTTTCTTTATATAAAGGGAAAAGGGGGAAAAAAAGGATTGGGAAAAATTAAAAGGGAAAAAAAGAGGGACTGGTTTTACCCGAAAAGTGTATTTTGGGTTTAAATTTTTGAAAGAATTAGAGGTAAGACAGAGAGTAGGATTGCAATGAAACAAGGGCTTTAGATTTGGGTTTTGGGGGGTGTAGAACAAGTGTTACATTGAAGCATATATGTGAAAAAGTATTTAATAAAAGGTTTGGGGGAAATTTTTTTTTATTGCTTTAAGGGAAATTTTGAAAAACTTATGAAAGGGATGGGGAAACAATGTTGGGAAATGGGTTTCAATTTCAAAAAAAATGGAATAGGTATAAATTTCTAAATTTCGGGAAAGAGTTTTTTTTTTAGGATAGTGAGGCTCAATTTAGGGGGTGTAGAAAAGAGGGGAGATTACTTCCCAGTAAAAGAGGTTTTTAGGAGGGTGGGGAATGTCATCAGGGTTTTTTTAAAAAAACCCTTTTGGGGGGTTTCCCGGGAAACTAGTACGGCTTACGGGACCAGGGGTTTTTGACATACTATTTTGCCCAAATTCCCAGTGCCCTTTAAATCTACAAGAGAAAGTGGTAGGCCTGTAAAACCCAAAAAAATGGGCCTTGGGGGTTTAAATGGCACGTTAAAAAAAAAAAAAATTCTGCGCACACAGTGCCGGGAGTGAAAAAAAAAACTTTGGCAGGTTTTTGGTTTAAAACAGTACTTTGCACTGTATTTTTGTATGGTTTTTATGGTTGTATTTAGTTTTCCTTGGGTTTTTTTTATAGAATGAAACATTTTACAGAAAAATTTTGAAAACCAATCAAATTTACTCAATGAAAAGTTTCCTTTTAAAAAAGAGTCAAAATAGGGAGAAAGGTTTGATTTTTGCCAAAATTCCCCCAAATAAACAAAAACATGCCCTGATCCCCCCACAAAGTCAATAAACTTTCACAAGTGCGCGATTTTTAATTTTAAAACCATTTCTACCTAATGGCCAAATTGTCTGCCATAACAGTAAACTTCTATTTTTTGTGAGAAAAAAAATTCAAAGTGGGAAGCAAAAAAAAAGTAAGAGGGGCCCGGGGGAAATGACTAATGAACAGAGGAAAAAGTTTTTTTGTGCCAGGAATGTCTGTCTTGTTTTTTTTCTGGACCCTATTTTTGGGAAATTTGGGATCTTTTTTAGATTTTTGAAATTGGGAAAAAAATTTCTATTACCGGCCCCCTTTATTGGATATTTGGGAAAACCTTAAAAGGGTGGGGTTTTTTGTACTCATTCGATAGAAAAAAAAGGAGTTTTTAGCAAAAAAGTATGTTTTTTTTCGGAAATATTTCAATTGGGGAAATTGGGGGTAAATAGGGCTCCCAAAATGGGCGAAAACGCCCATGTGTGAACATCAAGGGCTTCTAACTTCACGAATTTTGGGGGGGTTGGGGTAAGGGAGAAAAATTGAAAGTGAACAAGATAAGATTTAAAGGGGTTATGAGGGGTATCAAAAGATTTTGATTAAAAAAAAAATTAATATCACATTTGGGGAGAAGGGGCATGGAAAAGTGAATGTTTTCAGATATTTGGGAGTTGTGTCCGCTGATGGGGTTTTTGAAGGATGATTTTAAAACCCCCGAAATTGAGAAATTTTGTTTTTTCCCCTTTTTGCAAAGGGCATTAACTTTTAAAAACTGAGGACCCTATAGTGTATTTTTTTTTTTTCCAGAAAGTTTATGCAAGTCCTAGCCGGCGCCGAATGGACACAAAAGGAGAAGTTGAAGAGATAACCTACCCTAATGTTTGCTTTCATGTTGATAATTTTGATGAGGTAAATGAAATTCAATTCAGGGAAAGCACTGATTGTTTATAAACTAATGTTTAAAAAAACATTTTTAGTTGCATTTAAAAAAGACAGTTTTTTAATTATGACAATTTTATGTGGTTTAGAAAATGCCAGCATGCCAGCAATAAGATTGCATATCATGTGTGCATTGGTTTTTAGGTAATTGATTCAGAGAACCGACAGAATGATGAATTAGACATTTGCTCAACACTTGGGTATCTTTATTGTGGAAACGTTTTTGTCAACCAATGGCTTCCTCAGTCTGATATAGGAAAGAATGGTTGAAGATCAGTAGGAGTTTGAGGTAATCAGTCCCTCATTCTGGAGTCGATGTGATCAGTCCATCAGTCTTGATAAGAGTGCAGAATGTATGTGGAAGAGGAGCTTTTATACCTTAGACAGGTGGTGAAGCAGACTTAAGCAGTGTCACCTTGGACAAATCCATAGGTGGAAGTAGGTCATGCCTATAGGTTAGGCAAGTGTAGAGTTCCCTGTATCAGGATCCAAAGATTTTGCTGCAGCCAGTATTAACAGCCTGGTTAATCAGGCTTTGATTCCCCATGGGGTCTGGTCTGGGACTGGGCCAAGAGGGTACTGATCCTTGAAAACATGCTTCAAGTATCATGCATGACTGAAGAAGCCTGTTGTGTGAATGAAATGTTTCAGAAAAGATATCTAGGTGTTGCACACGCCTTACTCTTTATTGTTGCTTGATTCTGCTAGTAAACCAGTGCACCCTCTTGAGTTGCACCTTTCTTGAGTAGCTGAATTCTCTCTTGAGTTTATTTCAGTTCATTGTCAAGGTTTGATTTACACGACTTATCCACTGCATTGGCAGTGAAAAAGTTATTCTTATATCGGGGATCTAGAATTGTGTTGAGTATTGTGTTGCAGTTGGTGGTGTAACAATAGAACCTAGTTAACATTAACTCAGAGCTGATTGTGGCTACCCAGGCCTGAGAATTTTGAATCATTCAAAGCTTTCATGATGATATATTTCAAGTATGGTACCTTAGGCAGTATTTCTGGGACCAGACAATTTCTTTCACTTAAGACTTGTAGTTGTTTTGTAAAATGTTTTCATCATAGAAGATAACTTGGTACTAAGATTCCACACTCTTCCATCAAATGATGGAATGTGTGTTTTATCTAAACAATACATTACAGTTGCTTTTTTTTCTTCGCAAATGCACTCTAACATGAAATAAGTGCTATTCCAGCAAATAAGTACATCCTGAATGAGCTTGAGCTTTGGTAGTTCATTTTGTTCTTGAAGAGCCTCTAGTTTACTGCAGTTCTAGAGGAGAATGACTAATAGTGGATCAGGTCATCCTTATTGATAGTTTTTTTTTTGTAGTTTTTTTTTTTTTTACAATTATCATTGTTCCTAATGAGGAGGAAGTTAAGAAAAGGCAGGGAGTTGTCTTCCTCTGGCTATGTAGGTGATATAAACAGTTCACCTTGGTTGACCTGGCCCTTGAGTTTATTAAAGTTGAAATGACTTGGTACTGTAACCTAGTATTTGACAAATTTAAGCCAAGTGATGTAGTTTGGAGAATGATTGTGAATTTGTACCTCTCAAAATGTTTAAGGTTAGCCAGAGTAAATTTTTGCTTGTAGAAATTATCCTCACACAGCAGGAAAGATCAAGATCAGCAGAGGTATAGTTCCTGAGGAAAGTAATTACCATTAAAAATTTTTATACTCTGATTTGTAGGACACGTCAAGAAGTGCCATATGTAATAAATAATGCATTCCAATAGGTTTTAGGCCAATTTAGAACAGAAGCTTGATTTTCAAATACATGTACATCAAAAAAATGTGTAAATCATGCTCAAGGAAACTTGGTAGCATAGAGACAGTTTTTATCACTTTTTATGAATTTATTCTATTTACACAAGTTTTACATGATATATGATGTACAGAATTTGTTGGAGCAAGAGGCAGAGCTGTACCTGCATTTGAGGGATCGTTAGACTATACAAGTCATAGTATTTGATTACTGTACATTTTGCAGAATTTATTATATACATGTATTTTATTCATTTAGGTTTTTGCTGATATGCTAGTCCGTGATGGAGAGATGGTGTGTGTAGAACTGGTGGCTTCCGATCATGCCGGCACCCGTCAAGCTGTAATCTTCTTAGGTTCTATTAGATATGATGCTCTTAAGCGTGTCTACGATGCTCGGGTGAGTCTTGAGCCAGGTGCCTCTTTCAATTTTTTTTTTTATAGTGGCTAGATGGCACTACTAGATTTGATGTATGATGTTGTCTCTTGTTTATTTTTACATAGTGCAGCTGAAGTGCTTTTGATTACTTTCTTCCAAGGAATTTATATTTTAAATAATATAACTTATAAAAGAATAATATATACATAGACATTTTTTATCTCTGATTTGTAATGTACAGTGTATTAATAAATTTTTATAAAACTAGTTTACAGTGGTGGTATGGTACATGAAATACAAAAATATAGTGAATGTTTCTTTTTCCTAAAGATTAGAAAAAAGCTCCTTTAACACTTTCACTGTTACAACCTCTGAAACTAAAAGTGCTCACAGTGTTAAGATTAAAAAAAAACTTTTTGAAATTGTAGCAAATCTTTTTCTGAAGGTAATGACACTAAAAATGTAAAATTTGATGGAAGACTTGCAAGATTAGGCAATTGTAAAACTGGTGTTCTGGATGCAGTTTGTGCATCAGCAGTTTCCCTTAATTTGGGGCCTAGTTTAGACCAATTTCTTTCTTCAGACTGACTCGATTCCTGTATGTCTCACTAGTACAGTGGAACCTTGGCTTACGAACTTAACCCGTTTCGTGACCTTGTTCGTATCCTGATTTGTTCGTATGCCGAGTCAGTTTTCCTCGTTTAAATTACAGTGGACCTCCGCATACCGTCGCCATCACATAACGTACAATCCGCATACCGCTCGCTTTTATCGCAAAAATTTTGCCTCGCATACCGCTCAAAAACCCGCTCACCGCTCTTCGTCCGAGACGTGTCCAATGTGCGCCCTTAGTCAGCCTCACATGTGCCGCTGGTGGCATTGTTTACCAGCCTGCCTCCGCGGTAACATCCAAGCATACAATCGGAACATTTCGTATTATTACAGTGTTTTTGGTGATTTTATCAGCCAAATAAGTGACCATGGGCCCCAAGAAAGCTTCTAGTGCAACCCTACAGGCAATAAGGGTGAGAATTACAATAGAGATGCAGAAAGAGATCATTGATAAGTATGAAAGTGGAGTGCATGTCGGCCGACCCTGGCCCAGGTTTGTACAAGAAACCCAAATCAACCATCGCAACTATTGTGGGCAACAGAAAGGCAAATCAAGGAAGGCTGTTTCTTGCCCAAAGGTTTAATAACTGTGTTTTCGTAAACAGAGATCGCAAGTGATGGAAGAATGTTGAGAGACTCTATATTGGTGTGGATAAATGAAAACCCAGCTAGCAGGAGATGCTTTCTCAGAGCCGATCAAAGCGAAAAGGCTAGGAAGTTGCCCATGAGGATTAATTAAACAAATGCCTGCAAACTAGTGATGTGAGTGAAATTTAAGGCCAAGCAAAGGTTGTTGAGAGATTTAAGAACGTAGTGGCAAACATAGTGGATATGGCATGGTGAGCTGCCAGTTCGGACCACATAGCAGCTGAAAATATGTGCAGAATTCAAGGAGTATAACATAGACAGTGAAGGACGAAACCTGAAGCAAGGTTTAATTGTGGATGAAACAGGCCTGTTTTTGGAAGAAAATGCCTAGCAGAACCTACATTACTGAAGGAGGAAATGGGCACGCCCGACATAAGTAAGAAGACAGGCATACTTTGTGATGTGTTCCAATGCTACTGGAGATAGCAAGGTAGTGAAGCCTTATTAGTGTATCACTCTGGAAATCCCAGACCGTGACAGGCAAAAGAATTCCTCAAGGAGAATTTGTGGTGTGCTGTGGAGGGCAAGCATAAGGCATGGTCCACTAAGGGACTTTTCTAAGACTGTTTACACCATGCATTTTGGTTGCCCCCAAGTTAAGATTATCTAACTGAAAAGAAATTAGAACTTAAGTGCCTCCTGGTGTTAGACAATGCCCCTGGTCATCCTACGACGTGGCAGATGGACTTTAATGGGGACATGAAAATTCGATTAAAGTGAAGTTTTTTGCCTCCTAATACCACTTCCTCTCCTGCAGTCCCATGGACCAGCAGGTTATTGCAAACTTCAAAAAACTGACACAAAAGCTCTGTTTGAAAGGTGCTATTGTAGTGACCGCAGAAACTCCAACTGACAACTAAGAGAGTTTTGGAGATAGCACTTTAATATCCTCAATTGTGTTAAACCTTATAGGTAAGGCTTGGGGGGAGTGACTAAGAAGACCATGAACCTCTGCTTGGAAGAACCTGTGTGCCAGAATGGTAGACAAAAGGTATTTTGAGGTTTTTGAGGCTAACCCTGAAGGATTATGCCTGTTGAGGAATCCATTTGTGGCATTGGGAAAGTCCTTGGGTTGGAGGTTAGTGGGGAGGTAGTGAAGGATTTTTGGAGGAGGAACAATGAAAGAACTAAACCACTGATGAGCTGATCAGATCAACTTCAAGCAGAGGCCAACCTGAGTAAACTGGTTCACTAGGAGGGGAGAGAGAAATTGAAGAAGTTGCCTACTATAAATAAGTGAAATCTGTGCACAGTGGCCGTTGAAGTGCAAACTCTTTTTTTTGATGAAAATCACCCTCACACAGCTATTGACAAGCCGTGCATGGGATTATTTACACTGACAATGTATGGAAAAACACTTTAGGAAGTCATAAAGAACTAGAGGTAACAGGCCACTTGGACAGACCATTGTCCGAAGAGAATCCAGTGACTCTGGAAGCAGGTCTTTCTATGGCATTAAAAAGAGAAGGGAAGTAAGCCCCAGAAAAGGACTCGACACCTCAAGTCTTAATGGAAGGGGATTCCCCTTCTAAACACTAACACTCTCTCTCCCCTCCTCCCATCCCATCAATCATCACCAGATCTTCAATAAAAGTAAGTGTCATGTAATTGTGCATGCCTTTTTCAGTTTGTGTGTATTAAAATTAACATTTCATGTAGTAAAATTTTTTTTTTTCATACTTTTGGGTGTCTTGCACGGATTAATTTGATTTCCATTATTTCTTATGGGGAAAATTCATTCGCATACCGACCATTTCGCATAACAAAGAGCCCTCTTGCACGGATTGAAGTCGCTATGCGAGGGTCCACTGTAATTGAAATGCAATTCATAGATTCCAGCCTCTCAGGAGGCATGACAAAATAAAGCTAATATCAAATCTGTGGCTTAGTTGTCTATCACAATTCATTTAATATAACATAATAAGCAATATTAATAACAGAAACATGATATATACTCTAGAATGAATAAAATAGGCCATAATATGGCGAGTGATGGCAACGCCAGCAGCAGCATCCTGCTGCCATTTACTCTCCCACTCTAGTATCTTCCCAATCTATAACCCCACACCTAGCTTGTGTTTATATATGATTAATGATTAGGTTGTCACATATGTAACCACAGGTGTGGTCAAGACAGATGTATATATAAGTGAAGACGTGATCACTGTGGTCACAATGGTGGTGGCGGCGGCAGCGGCCACAGTGGTTGTGGTGGCCAGCTGCCTCACCCTCTGCTGGTGCCTTCTTCGTTTCTCTAGCTTTTTTCATAGTTTCTAATTGCTTCCTGAGCTTCTTGCTGATTGTATGCGAATACTCTCTCTTTGGGTGAGGCATTGTGTAAGAAATTTGTGCAATATAAGACAAAATTATGCATCCCAAGGGTCTGCTGCAGTCACTCAGAGTGGCTCACCTCCCCTTCCTTTTGACCCTTGGTTGGCACTGAGATAGCCGTGGTCTAGCAGCTATACCTACAGCCACCCAGAGGGTTACCAATTTGTATTTTGAAGCATTTTGCACAAAAACATGAAAAAAATTATGTAAAATGTCTAAAAAATGACAATATATTATTATTATTATTATTATTTTTTTTTTTTTTCAACAAGTCGGCCGTCTCCCACTGAGGCAGGGTGACCCCCAAAAAAAAGAAAATCCCCAAAAAGAAAATACTTTCATCATCTTGATATTCAACACTTTCACCTCACTCACACATAATCACTGTTTTTGAAGAGGTGTTCAGAATACAACAGTTTAGAAGCATATACGTATAAAGATACACAACATATCCTTCCAAACTGCCAATATCTCAAACCCCTCTTTTAAAGTGCAGGCATTGTACTTCCCATTTCCAGGACTCAAGTCCGGCTGTATAAAAATAACCAGTTTCCCTGAATCCCTTCACTAAATATTACCCTTCTTGCACTCCAACAGATTGTCATGTCCCAAATACCATTCATCTCCATTCACTCCTGTCTAACACGCTCACGCACGCTTGCTGGAAGTCCAAGCCCCTCGCCCACAAAACCTCCTTTACCCCCTCCCTCCAACCTTTTCGAGGATGACCCCTACCCTGCCTTCCTTCCCCTACAGATTTATACACTCTCCATGTCATTCTACTCTGATCCATTCTCTCTAAATGACCAAACCACCTCAACAACCCCTCTTCAGCCCTCTACTAATACTTTTATTAACTCCACACTCCGAATTTTCTGCATAATATTTGCACCACATGTTGCCCTTGGACAGGATTATTATTATTATTATTATTATTATTATTATTATTATTATTATTATTATTCTCAGTACGTACGTATTATAATTTATTATTATTATTAATACATACGTATTATTATTATTATTATCGTTATTATTATTAATTTAGGGAACTGGAGCACAGATCAATTCCCTAGATCAAGAGCCCCTCACCAGCATCAAGGTTCCTTGATGCTGGTGAGGGGCTCTTGATCTAGGTAATTGGATCTGTGCTCCAGTTACTTAAATTAATAATGATGATAATATTATTTATTTTTATTATTATAGCGATAGAGCTTCAGTTCCCTAAATTAATAATAATAATAATACATAATACTTAGGTAATAATAATTCAGAATGCTGCCGCTAGTTGGCACAGCTGATGCCAACACATCCGGCAAGCAGTACACATGTTTACATCTCTGTAGGAGCAGTTCTCTCGTGCTTGTTTGCATTTTTTTTTACAGTTTTTACAGTCATTTGGCCAAATTTCTTTTTTCTAACCATGGGTC